GTCTAAAGTTGCCCTTTTTTTCTCAAATGTGTTTATACCTCAGAAAAGGTGTGTTTTGTCAATTTTGTTTGCCCTAGCCAGGTTTAAGTTGTATAACCAGCACTCACTCTCTGGATAGCCACTGGTCTGGCTGACCTTGGCAGCATGACAGCTGTCGTATTTTCACATGGAGGAACTGTTCTTGAACAACTTCTCCAATGTATCAGGAACAAACAAGCTTTTCTTCAGCATCAGGAATGCAGCACGTCTTCCTTCCAACTATTTTTTTCTCGTTCCACAGACCTATTTATTGTGGCAATGGCAAGAAAATCCTCCTGCTAAACCTTCGTGTTTGAGTTCCTTTAAATTCAGGGGAGTGACAGAAGAGCAAATGTAGATCATGTCAGAGCTTGCTTTCTTTAGTTTAACTCTTCAGTTATTTTTAATAAACATGGGTATTAATTTGTAGTGGCCAGAAAAGTATGAGGGCAAAATCCTTTTTACATCTGCATTGCTAGGATTTCCACTTCTCCCGTGTATTTAATTTAAATCCCTGTGGTAGTTGGCAGTGGGAAAGAGTGGGATGCTGCTGGGGAGGGTGTTGCAGAAACCCAAAGGTTTTGCAGTGTGATGGGCAATATGGGCAGCAGTGAGTGGCAGGGAGGATTTTATGCAAGTGGACTGACCTCCAGCTGGTTATGTGCTCACTAGATCCATCAGTGGAATGAGGGGAATCCAAGGATGGAAGGAGCAGGAGCAAGAAGGGAGCTGGTGTCAGGAGTTGGGAGTAGCAGCTGTGGCACCCATGGCTGGGGTATAGTTCCTCCCCAGCAGAGAGTAGAGGGTAGTGGGGAGAACAGAGTCCTGCTGGTACCAAAATCTATGGAGGAATGCAGCAGTTTTATTAAAAAAAAAAAAAAATCTTCATCTCCAAAAAGGAATTTTCTGTCAAATTGCGAGAAAAAGGGAAAATGCTCCCAGAACAGACAATAACCCATTTTTTAGAGCCTGGCAGAAAGAAGTTCACATTAATTTGGGGCCTAATTCAGAGTGGGAGTTTGTATTTAGGTGAAGGTTGTATTTCTACATCAGACCTTGCAGTTACTCAGAGATTTGTAGTAGCACAGTGCCCTGGATTAACTGCTCAGCAACTTCACTCCTTGAGTAGTTTTTGCAGCCTGCACTGAGCTGCATCTTAAAACACTTAAATGTAATCTAAAAGTAACTGGTTTTCCCCAAAACTTCACTCCCATACCCTCCAACCACGCCTATGTGGGATAAGGGGTGAAGCACGGAGTCCTTTGGTTTAATACCTATGTAAGACAGTAAATCCAAGTGCTTTGTAAAAGTTTGTGTGTTTCTGAATGGGAACTGAATCACATGGAGCTGGCTTATATTTCTCTGCTCCATATGCACAAATGCTCTTCACACCACGGGTGTTAGTAGTCAGGAAGGGAGTCAGAAAATATGTTTTGGTTGATTCATGCAAAAAAAAAAAAAAACCTTCAGTGGTAGCAATAAGTATAATTGATGACTGAGTCTTGTGTGGCAGAAGAGCGGGTGTTCAGCAATCACGTAGGTTTGGAAAGAGAGTTAAAGTTGAAGATTTTATTGAGACTCCTGTGTTTTGCACATTTTTTTCATCTTGGAAATGAATTTCAGACCCCAGTAGTTAGTATTAATGCTATATATCCTCTGTGGTTAGTAATAATGCTATACAGCCCTGCCAAATGTGGAGAAAGAATTGGAAAAAATAACCCTCTGTGAAGAAGTTAGATGCAAACAAACGGGGATAGAGGTTTATACTTACAAAGAGCTCAGTTCTGTTGGCACTTCTCCTGAACCAGTCCTGTCAATCTAAATCTGAACTATTTGCAGAGTGAAGTGTTGCTAATGAGCAAGGCTGGCAGGACCGGGCTCGAGGTGATGAAGGCACCTGAACAAGCAGAGTAAAGCAGGAACCGAGAGACTGGGCTGAACCCCATGAATCAAAATGTTCTGCCCTACCCTCGTCTTAATCCGTTCTCGTCCACCTTCCTGCCAAAGTGGGGGGAGGCCATCAGCTGGCGCGTGCTGTGCCAGCTCGGGAGCTGCTCGGCACTTGCCTGGATGAGTGTGGGATGCTTTTGTGTAGCCGGGGGGACTCCAGCTCTGGTGTGTTCCAAAACAAAGTGCAGCCTATAGTTTGTTTTGTCTTTCCGTGGAATTAAAATACAGCGCTTGGCAGAATGTGTTCTGTAGACTGGTGACTTTTTTACTTAAAATGCAGTGAGTGAACTTGGCTGTGTAAGCTTGGGGTTCCTCTGAAAACAGTTATTTTTTTCAAGTTAATTTTTTTCTGGAGTTGGTTTAATTCAAAGGAAGTTTTGTTTGCTTGCTTGCTTGCCTGAGGTTTTTGGGTAGGTTTAAACAGATGAGCTTCATTTCTTCTGCAGTTTATTTTGGTGACACTTCTGTAGCCTTTGGGGGATATAGCACAGTGCAAATGGAGTTAGACTTCGAAAGTTTGGGTTAGAGTTTTGCAGACCCCAAAAGATAACTCTTGTATTTTCTAGTGATTTTCCAAGCCTTTGAGTTGGCATGAGCTCAGACTTTGTAAAGAGAGGGAAGGCCCAGTGTTTCTCCAGAGAGCTTCACAAAAAGCTTTCCAATTTTTTTTGGGGGGGGGCCCTTGAATCAACCTTATTACTTTATTACCCATCACCTGTGTGCTTTGCAAAGTCGAACCGTGAAGGTGCTTCCCACGTTTGCATGGCTGACACTGCCTTTCACCACAGGTATTTCTAACTATTGCATGGCCCAGCTCCCCCTGGAGCCAAGGTGTTGCTCCAGGGCTGCAGCAGACGGGGAGTGGGGAGAGCTGCTGGGCTTGAAACTCATCAAAGCTGCCAAAATCCCCCGGTAAACCCAGGGCAGCGCCAGCTTCTCCCCAAAGAGTGAGTGGCTCTGAGAGGTTTTGCCACATAAGGGCCTGTTCGAGGCTGTAGGCACCAGCTGACAGGGATGTCTTTGCCTCCCAACAGATGGCCAGGCTTTTTATTTCAGCGAGCAATGTCGCACGGAGGGGTGGTCTCTGGATCCTGCCAGCGTTTCGCAAGACAGGGCCAGCTTAGGGCAAGAGGGATCTGATGTCCGTGCCCTTCATAGCTTGTGAGCTAAATGACGAGCTGTTGACAGAAAAGCCGTCATCTGAAGTGTAGGATCCTGAACTCTCCCCGCTTTTCGTTTTTCTTTGGCGGAATTAATGCCCTATTTGCTTGTCTCTCAAAATCCATCCTGGCACGAGCACAAGCCCTCGCCTGGTGGCAAGCAGTTGTCTGGATTCGAGATGCCAAGATTTGTGCTGACAGCTCCTTCTACACAATCTGAGTCAGGCTGTCACAGCTGGCCATTAGAGGCTTAAAAAGACATACATGTACAACAAATAGCACCACCTTTGCGTTACTGAATATCAGAAGCTGCTTGATGAGAAGGTGCAATGACTAACACTGTTCTTTATTTTAGTGTAAACAAACACTGTCTCCAAACCCCTGTTCAAGTGTGGTGGCTGTTTATTTTGTGTTGATTGCTTGCTCTTATTTAGAAACTCAGGGCTAGAAGGGACTTCCTGGGTCAGGAGATCCAGTCCTTGGTAATCCCAAGCATCACATCTTATAATCCTTCTCAATTACCTTGCATTTCTTTAATGAAAACAGTCCCTTGGAGTTTCAATTTGTCATTGGAGCCATTTATCGAGTACGATTTTTTTGATACAGAGTAGCAAGCACCAAAACTTACCTTGTTGAGGGGCAGCATCACAACTAGAGCAGGGCAAAGAATGCTGCTCATCAAAAAGGGATTTTCTGAAGCTGTTTACCCTGCAGTTTTGCCTTTCTTCGTGGCAGTCTGTGCAAATTCTGCTGACCTGGTGTTCAGTTTGGGTGCTAAAGGAGGGATGCTTTCAGATTGAATGTAAAATGGGATCAAACTGTTCCCCTCTCCACTCCTGGATATGGGAACAGGGCAGATTAACTTCTGCTTAGTCACTGGTGGTTATTGCATGTGTAATGCTGCTGTCTGGTTACACTGGGGTTTGAACTTGCTGCAGGATTAAACTTTGCACGGCTGAGCTTTAGTAGACCTTAGTCTGTAGTTTATTTTGGACCAAAGGCTGATAAACTTTGGCTTTCAGGGAGGAAGCCTGGAATCTGAGACCCACTGTTATTCATTGACTTGTCTTTATGAGTTTACAGTCCACTGATGCATAACACTGAAGGAAATATTTCCAGTGAAATGTTTGCTTTTTTCTCTGGCTTTGTAAAATGCAATGTCTTTTCTTAGAGATATATGTCAGGGTCATATAGCTACTTCAGTGAACTGTGTATGGTCAGGAAATAGACTGCATTAAAAATATTTCATTTTTCCATGAAGTCAGTTTTTTAACCAAGATTTCTCCTCTTCCCCTCTCAGGGATTTGGGCTCCCACTAGCCACTATTTGAGCATTAATTTTATTCACAAACAGGGTTTAATCATGGAAGGGAGATATCAACTGTATGGAACATTTTCAGTATTTTTGCATTAAATCAAAACTTGCACATGACAGTGAACTTGTAAAACAAAACTCCATTTATACATAAGGGAACTTTCATATCTGACATTTCTCTGCCCTTTTCTTGCTGTGATGAAATATGTGTCTGTCCCTTACTGCTCTGGATGGCACAGGGAGCCTGGCCATTTAGCGTGGTAGAGGGACTGACTCTGCAAAATTTAATGGCTCTAACACAACAGAAACATGACATTAATGATTAATAAATAATAAATAATAATAATAATTAGTAAATATTTAGGGTGTACTTACATGTTTTGCTAGGTTGGGGCCCATGCAAGCTCCACTTCCCTCTTTGGAGGGTCAGTGGGATGATTTATCTGAGTTGGGAATACGAACATAAGTAAGTCTTTGTTGGACCAAATGTGCAGATGTCACATAGTAATACCACACACTGTTTATAAGACATTAATGTCCGTTTCTCTTTATCCACAGGTTCTTCTTGAAATTTTTCCTCAAATGTAACCAAAATTGCCTAAAAAATGCAGGAAACCCTCGAGACATGCGTCGATTCCAGGTCAGTCAGACACGCTTCCTCCTTTAAAAATCAGCAGCTGTTAGTGACAGAAGTACTTTGACCCAAACTAACCCAGTAATTCACTGGAAGATGCTAAAAACATAAGGTCACAAAATATTGCCTGAAGCCTTCTTGTCACAGCAGAATTGGCAGGAAGTAGTTGGGTTTTCTTGCTCTGGACAAGAGAACTCTTGAAGATAATGTCATCTCCAGCGGAAGGGAAAGCATGAAAAAAAAAATTAAAATGACCTTGCTGTTGCTTTTGGTTATGGGGCTCGGAGACATTCTTTTCTGCCCAGAGAACTATTTCCCTTCTTGGAAACAGTAAATGAGCACCATGTTTATTGGAAGGGGCCGACAAGGGTGTAAGAGATATTATAAAATTAGCAGTTACTCTTTAGCAGTGGTAAAGACTCAAATGTGCATCAGTGGGATGAAGGTCCATCCCTGTAGTCAGAGCATGGAAAAAAACTACCATTGGGTGTGTCTTTCTTGGGATGTTTTGGTCTGGCCTTTCCCCACTGCTGCAGCATGTGGCACTGAAGCTCAGGAGCTGCAGCATCAACACAGCTTCAGAAGACCAAAGACAATTTTTTTATGCTACACCTATGTCCACGACTACTTTTGGGATCAAGAACATTGATGTCACTTGGGAAAATAGACTTTACATGCATTTTGCCAGTGCTGACAGCAGTGTGGAGTGGTGGCAATACTGAGAAATAGATGCTCCAACCCTTTTATTAAGACACGATCCGTAACTGTGACAATAATGCTTTACCTGAGTATGTGCTGAATAAAAATATGGGGTAGAGAGTCAAAGGACCTTCTCTTTTGGTGGGAGGAATGTATACAGCACAGGGAGAAAGCATGATAGAGTCTGTCAGTGTGGCTTTGCCTCAGGGTACTGAGGAAGAAACGTGAGATTTGTTCCATAGACCACATGGGTCTCTAGAGGAAGGCAACTCCAAAATACATTTGCTTTCTGTAGTGACATAGAACTCTGTTTGCTTCTTTTCCAGCATTGTCACAGTTCAATAAAAGTGTTAAATGTTATGTAAATGACAATATTATTTATATGTGGAAGGTCTTTTGTTGAACTGCTTAATTGCAGCAATGCTGGAAGACAGAAGGGTGCTATTTGTCCCTGAGCACAGAAGTGAAGAAATGAGGAGATGTGGCCACAGGGATTAAATTAATCAGTATAAAAGCTAGTGTTACAAGGCAGAGCCCTCGGCTTCTCACCCCACACTCCTCCCTCCATCGTGTTTCTCCTGTGATTCAAGAGGGCATTATCACCGAGAGAGAAGGTGGAAAAAGGACTCTCAGCAGCGCAGGGATTTAGTCCGAGCAGTCACCCCTGGGGCCTGTCAGAGCTTGCTTCACAACATGTACACTCTGCTGGGTTTGTGCTCCTCCAGGCTCACGGCTGATTTTCATATGGTAATGCCTTTGCGTGTTCTCTCAGAACAGCAATCAGGAGCCTGTGTCGGTGGGTAGGTAGGACATAGGAAAGGTTGTTGATCTCTTGACTTGTAAAGACATTCTGTCATACAAACCCAGCTTCACAGCAGTTGAGCTTTCCGTGTGTAAACAGAGACTGCTTAATTACACAGGTCATGTCAATTAGTGTGACCTTAGCATTTTCAAGAAATTAATCACTTTCAGCTGAGCGAACCACTCCTACTATAATACAGGGTGGTATTGAAGCTCGCAGTGTTCTGTTCAGTGCCCAGGCTTATTGTTTTACAATAGATGCTTTTGTTTCTTTCCTTTTTCCTTTTTTTTTAAAGTTTGAACTTGTTGCTCTTTTAGCAATAGGCTTCTTCAAATAAAACAGCTGGACTCTAGAGCCCAGGCTTCATTTATAATTTCTTAGCGGGAAAAGGACCGAGCATACATACAGTATCTCAGTGATATGATGCTCCTAGGTGTTTGAGGCAATGTGGTGTAGGAACCAAGTGAAATCTGGGCCTCTGTGAAGTCAGTGGAGGGTTTGCTATCAGTTACCTTTGAAATTTTGCCAGTGACTTACAAGATCTGTAATGATGACGTCAGAATTCTGGTTAAAAACCATAAGGATAAGGTATTGCCAGATACTTTTTAAATAGTAGCACACTCGTTTTACACAAAACCCAGAGACTTTTCCTTCCTTCTTTCCCCTATCTGTGCTGGACTTTGAAGCTGCCCAGAGAGTTGTCCAACTTTTTGGCCATGGTCTGTCAGACATCAGTCCCTGAAAGGTGCTGGAAGTTCTTGGAACATAGCTTATGGTTTTGCTGGGAGACGCAGTGAAGGGTCAAGGACAAGAGTCTTGCACTATCTGAGGACCAACCCTGCAGAAAATTTCCTTTCTGAGTCAATTTTAGGGTTGTTTTTTTATTCCCTGTAGCAGGGAATTGTCTGATTATCATCTGATATAACAGATGTTAGGAAAGTACAGAGTGTGTGTTGATTCAGGCAACCTGTGTTTGAAACTTCATTCAGACTCACAAACAGAAATGAATTAGGAAGTTTTATCCTGAACTTTGCGTGCAAATGTGGGAGTGTGATAAGTCTGACATAAAAGCTGTTGTGAGCCTGGAAGGAAATAAATTTCTCTGTATGTCTGAGATGTCCAGGCATGTGACAACTCGAGCAGTGTAGAGTGCCAGCAAAACTGCGTGCTGGAGCAGTGATGGCCCTGGCTGTGTTAGTTGTGTCTCTATCAGCAGAAGGAGACAGTCAGGGAGGAGAAGTCAAGTACTAAGCAGGAACTCACACAGCTGAGTTGAGCTTTCAGCTGTGCTACAGACTCCCTGCTTGTCCTTGAGAAAATAATTTACTCTCTCTGTTTCATCAACCCAGTTGCACAAAACATTTGGTGTTATCATGTATTATCACCTTTGTCCAACCTTGCCTTTTTATTCCAGAAACCCCACGGAGAAATGCTCAGTCTGGTTTTGCATTCTTCATCACAATAAGTCATCATTCTCGGTGGGACGGGCTATAGTGCCCCAATTAGTGGTAATAATAATACTACTAAGTAGGTGGTGTCATGGGTGAACTCTGCCCAGATTTTATTTTTGAGAACTAAAACCTCATTCATACAATCTAAACAGTTTTGTATGTTATTGCAATTAATGAAACCCAGGTGCCCTAGTTATCTTGTTGTTCTTGTTTTAGCACAACTGCTTGCAAACTGACACATGTCAAGTTTTAATTTAGAGAAAACTTTTCAGGCTGTGTCACTGCATAAAACCCCAAACATTCACTTATTATGAAAACCTTGAAAGTCACTTAGAAATTGCCACGCTGTTTGATTCTGTTACCACAGCCTCTTCTGCAGCCGAGGCTGCTCGTTTGCCTCCATGGGATGCTGCCACTCATGTTTGAATTGAAGCCACTTGTGTCTTATTGCAAATTTGCATAAGAGACAGAGATGATGCTTCATGAATCCCAGATAATGGAATTTGGACATGCAAGGCTCCATCCCCAGAGAAGGGAAAGGCAAAAAAAAAAAAAAAAGACTGAAAAATAGCAGTGAGAGCTGTGGCCCAATTCAACAAGGTAATTAAGCGCCTGGCCTGTCCTTGAGCACGTGAGCAAAATTACTGAGTGTATTGTACTTATGTGCTTTAAGTTTGGCACCTTTTTGAGTGTCTTGTTAAACTGAGAGTGATTTTTTGTTACTAGAATAAAGAAGTCAACACATTATAGAAAGAGGTCACCAAGTGGTGACGAAAATAAAGATGTGCTCAAGCCATTTATATCTTTCAGAAAAGTAGCAAACACTGGACAGTTTAACACTAATGACACTTCAAACCTTGGATGGAAATCATCTTAACCAGATTTTCTCTGCCTTTGCCACTGGATGCTGCAGACATTGTAAAAATATCAGATCCTTCACCATACACTGGAGAAAATTGAAAGCACAAGGAACATGCTATGTCTTAATCAGTTAGCAAAGCTTAATGGGCTGTGGTTAAAAATGAGGAGTCGTGCAATGCTTAATTTTGATATATTAGGTGAGGTACTATACCAAATAAACAGGCCGAGTGCTAAACGTGGATAAATAGCTTGATCTCCAGGCTCCTGGTCTCTGAATATTAAAAAAAAAAAAAACAAAAAAAACAAAAAAAACAACAAAACCCAAAAAACTAAGCTCCAAAGTATTCACAAACTGAACTATTTAATAGCAGGCGGAATAATTCACGGAGCTGGGATACGTTACTGCGGTTGATAGTGCCAACTTCATTGAAGAAAGTTGTAAACCCATGTGTTTCTTTCATACCTCTGTCTCCCCTGCTGTTGATACAGGATTTAAATTCAAAATCTATGAAGGGCTAAAGCTAAAGCTCAAAATCATTTTCCATGTTTGCCTGTCCCAAATTAAAACTGTGTTTTGTTGACAAAATTTGGAAAGGTTTGAGATTTGGCAGGCCTGGTTGTCCCTGTGCTTACATTAATGTGTCAGCACCTCATTAATCATTTATTAAACTGTAGTGTGCCTTTCCCTCTTGCTACAGTCTGTGTTTTAGGATACCTTGGTGCCCATTCCACATATACTTTGGCTCTCCCCTCCCCCTAATTTTATGATTTCTCCACAAATTAGTTTTAGCATGTGCTTTAACTTGAACATATCCCAGTCATTTTGAAATCAAAATGAGGAGGCTGTAGTAATTTTTTAGATTAAAAAATGTGAGTTGGACTTTTAAGTATGTTAAGTGCTCTGTAGCAATCCGAGTAGGTAACTGTGGCACACAATATTAAAGGTGCGTTTTTTCTCTGTTAATAATTGGAGTCATTAATATTTTGTTAGTGCAGTGTATGTTCAGTGTTCCTCTATTAATGAGAATTTTCATTTAAAGAATTGAGCAGTAAGCACGTGCTGCTTCTTACAGGTGCACTATGAATAATCCTTTTTTCAAACAGTCACATAAGAGGTTTTTTTTCTGCATTTCCTGAAACTGGAAACAGTTTCTCTTGGGGATTCCATTTATAGTTTCTTCTGCTAACGACACTGAAGAACCACACCAATGTGGCCTCTTTGTAGTAAATCAAACTCTCTGTTCAGGAGGGAGGTAGGAAGACACTGTTAAGTAATTCAAAATATGTTGCATCGACGGTTTTGGAAACCTGACGGGGGGAATTAAATGTAGATTTACTCACATAAAACCTCACTAGGATTGTTTCCTCAAGTTCTTCCCTAGAAAGGTGAATGTATAGCAACAGCTAGTTAGACACAGGATTTTCACAGGTTTGAGAACTACCTTCTGTTATTACTCTTGATCCATTATTTTTCTGGAATCTTATTTGTAGAAACGTTGAAAACTTTCAGTTTTAGCACAGGATTGATCAACTTCAGTGGGGAATCTGTGGGTACTTGCAGCATTTTAGAACTGAGGAAAATATTTCATCTTGTAGCCATTGTTATTAATTGTAATTGTGTTAATTTTCATATGCATCTAATCAGACCCGTAGAAGATAAGAGCTGACATAAGTCATGGAGCTGTGACAGGTGATGCCAAGGATTTGGCTCAAAATCCCAGTTGAAAAGAATTTACAATGGTTGCAAGTGCAGAAATAGAATTGCAAACCCTGAGCCACTTACTATAAGATCATATTTTATTGAAAATATCATAAACTTTATTCTATCCCTCAGGAATGCAATAGATAAATTACTTTTGAAATCCCTTTTGGAATTTTATATATAGGGCTTAGGGTTTTTTTCCCCTTAGTTTGATTTCAGAAAAACTTACCTGTAGTATTTGGTGCTTTCTTTTTCTGAAATTTCCATCTAAAGAGCTCTTGAATAATTTATTCTGTATTTTAATATCTTCCACTTAAAACACATACAAAAATCTATCGCCTGGAATGCCATTCTGAGGGATGGGTTAAGGATCCTTTCAATGTAAACTATTCTCTTTTGTATTCCTCTTTTTAAAGACAAAGACTTTGGAATGGGCTATGGGCAGTTTAGTAGCTTTGCTTACTTTTTGAGTGTTTTAATCAGGGGCCAGAAATGGGTAGAAAATTTTTTCTTTCACTTTTTTTTTTCTTCCCAATTCAAGTGATGGAATTGAATAGTTGTAAGCGATCCTTTAAGTGTCCCCATTTGACCAAGTTTGAGAGGCAGCAGCTTCCTGAGAGAGTTGAACCAATGTTTGCCAATCCTTGTAAAGCATTTCACCTCTTCAGAGGCTAAAGCCTCTCAAAACCAAGAACAATTAAAGCGAGAGCCTTTCAGAGCGACTGGGGAATTCAGCAAAATAAATCAGAAATCCTCTGCCGTGGCTCTGGAGGCTTGCCTCATTATAAGAGCAGATCTATTAGCCCCCTTGCCATTGTCTTTCATTTCTCAAGTGAGGTGATTCTAATTAAATTAATCTGCATGTCAATCTATCGGTGATCAATCAAAAGGGCTGAGGTCCCCCTTTGCGGCAGTGTGCTTGCGGCTGACAGGGGCTGATAATGGAGGAAGAAATAAACTGTCGAGCAAAGTTAATTAGTCAACATAATAGGTGGATTAAACAGGAGCTGCTGATTGCTGTTTCACATGTCGAAGCATGAGGTGGGAGCTGAAACTGCAATTAACAGACAATTATTATATTTGGTTGTAAGAGGTCGCATGAATAAACATATCTCTGTGGGTTTCAGTCTTTAATCCCTTTCCCTGTTTAATGTAAGGAGAAGTGTAGGTCATTTCTTCTTATTGTTTTAGTCAAAGTTCTAGAAGGCGATGCAGGCTCCTGGCAAACCAGCAGCCAGCTGAAGGCCAAATCTTTGGCTGGGGCAAAACCCTGGGAATGACATCGTTGGGAAAAGATTGTGGGAGGGGTGGCTGAATGAAAGCCAGGGAGGCTGGGATTTAGGCTTGGTCTGAATAGGGTAGGAGGAGACCTGCTGTGATGGGCTCGCAGCTCTGCAAGGGACTTGTCCCCACGCATCCCCCCCTTGTTATCTCCACGATGTCTCATGGCTCAGGTGTCCCCAGCCTGAACAGGGATTTCCTTTAGAATGGTGCCTACTGAGCCTCAGGTTTGAAGGGTCCCTCTGGACACCTCTGAGCAGCTGGGTCTTCTACTCTGGACCCAACATTTGCCTGTTTGCCCCTGCTGGGTTGGCTCCTCTCCCATCTCAGGCTGCTCTGGGGACCAGAAGTGTCGGATCCTGCCTCCAGCGCAGTCCTGTTCTGTCTCCCTCACCTCAAACCAAATCCCAGGTGTTGACATTGAGATAAGTTGAGAAATACAAATAATTCTAACACTGGATGAATAGGGTTGTGTTCTCCAGATCAAGACCCCACTGTCAAGCGTGCATGTGTACACAAACATACCTATACGTACTCCCTAAGACAGAGCCCGGGAGAAATTTGGGCAAGTCCAACAACCTGCAGTGACCGTACTGAGGGGAAGGCAGCAGAGAAGGGTGGGGGCAAGGCATGCAACAACTCTCATTATACCTTCACAAAATACACTTTTGTTTTCTTTTATTCTCATTTGCAATGTCAACAGCTCTATCTACTTCAGCATGGAAACCGAAGGATAATTTAGGGTGGAACACAGCTGCCCTTGTGTATAGGGGAAAAATATACTTAATAAAGATCCTCTTGTTAAAATGATGGTTAACAGTGTGCTGTCTGCCATGCAGCTACAAACTCTGCAATTTGACTTAAAACTGCATCAAAAGCTTTCGATGCCAAAGACCCACTCATCAATAGCGTCTCTTGTTAGATTTGTACGGCATAAGCACCAGTTATTATGCGAAATAGCTATGCAATTTTCTACAGTTCCCAGCTGTTATTTATTTAACTGAGTTTATTACACTCTGCGCTTTGTAAAAAACACACAGATATATCCAGTTTTTCCTCCATTTTGCTCTTGTGCCTGCAGGTCGTCGTGTCTACAACAGTCAATGTTGATGGCCATGTGTTGGCAGTGTCGGACAATATGTTTGTACACAACAATTCCAAGCACGGGCGGAGAGCTCGAAGACTCGATCCCTCGGAAGGTACGCCTTCTTATCTGGAACATGGTAGGCATATCATTTTCATTGGTTGGCATTGCTACTTTAAATGTGGATTTGTTTGGTTTCTGTCTCTGGCTACTGGTTTCAAATTGTCCTGTAACGGTTTATACCCTTGGGGCTGGATATTTTAAAGATACTGGCCTCCAGACCAAAGGGGGAGTTTTTCAAGTAGGTCAGCTCCAAATGCACTGAAATGGCAAACCATTGAGCAAACATGGGTGCAAAGTCTGTCCTGTGTGTCAGTGGAGTGTGGTGATTTTTTTTTTCTTTTATGTTGGTTCCATCTATTCAGCATCCAAAATTGGAGTCTGATCTTTTTCTTTTTTTCCAAATTGCCTCCTACATATTTTCTCAAATGCTCAGCACCCAAATTTCGGATTGGATTTCTTCTATCTATAGGGTGCTGAGCTCTCTAGGAGATTGAATTGCCCTTAATGAAAGCAGAGCCCTTTTGGAAATCCATCTGCTTACTCAAGCCATGGATGAATGTTCTCTTCTGGCTCCAGCTGTGCCAGCTGAGGACATTGCTCTTCCCTGCATGCCACAGCTGTTTGTCTCTCCTCCCTGCTCCAGGCTGTTCTTCACCATGGACATGCCAGCTAAGATGGTTGTCTGCTTGCTCCCTGGTCTCCTTCAGTTCAACAAAGTTCATTTGAATTAAACTGTTTAAATAATCACTCTTTGCCAATCTAGCTTATTTTGCTGAAATGATTGAAGGAGAAATGGTGCAAGGCAATTTGTCTGGCTTTTCTGAAAGGACAGTCAACCCCAGCAAGGGTGGGATGAGGGCACGTGGCTGCAAGTAGCCTGGGGGACAGTGATCTCTTCTGTAGGGTCAGCTGGTCCTGGAAGGGAACATCTGCTGGTGACTGTAGGTGCTTAAAATGGGAGTTGTTGAGTGCAAATGTGCTTTGAAAAATCTGGATTTGATTAATGTTTTGTTTTGCTCTTTGTCCTCAAAGTTGATGACTACTGCTGAAAAACAAAACAAAAACAGAGGGCATTTCACTCCCCTCTCTCTGTTCCAGCTTGGTAGAATAGCTCTTTGTCTTCAAAGCTGTTTATAATCCTAAATTCAATAGGTGCTTGCTCCCTCTAAGAGATGTGTACCCTCAGCTCCCATTGAAGTAGTAGAGTGCAGAAGGCACCAGTCCTTTATGCTGGTTTGTTTCACAAATATTTGCCAAGGATCTGATGAATAATTAAATAGATTTTTCCAAAGAGTTTGAAGAAACCAGATAAAATTTTCTCTGGGAAAGCAAATGCCACTCAGAAAAATGTTAACTAGATATGTTAAAAGAAATTATTAATGCTGAGAAATGGGAAAATGTGTGGGTTTCTACTACTCAGGATTCCTCTGTAAATAGTTTTCTATTCTGTTTATGCTTTCAGGCATCAGTCCTGCAAGCACTTATGCATATATTTAAGATTATGCTCACATATGGTCTTGTTGGGATCAATGAGGCTTCTTGTGTCAGAGAAGCTGAGGGTATTGATAAGTGTTTGCAGAATCGGGTCTGTAGTTCACACTTACTAACCTAAAATTCTTAGCTCAGCAGCGTTTCTCATTATATAAACATAACTTACATCTGTATTTATTTAGCGCTAACTTTTTATGTAGGCTATGAGCCATTTTCAGTTATAATTCATGTTATAGAATTTTTTTTCATCCTGCCAACAACCTAATTTAATAAACAAACCGCTGTCATAATTTTTACTGAAATTTATAAGGAATGTACGAACTCTGTCTTTATTAATTAGCAGAAGGCAGAACATTACAAAGGGAAACTTCTCTCGGTTCAGCTTCGTAATCTTTCCATTAAGTCTAGTCTTTCAGAAAAACCCCTCCTATTCTTTCACTTATATTCCTAATAAAATAGTTGCCATATTTTTGGTTGGTTTTTTTTTTCCCCTTTCTTTCTTTTTTTCTGCATTTCAGTCTTCCCAGTGCATGCTTTTGGTCAAGGCACTACTTAATTTCTCATACATAAATGCTCTTACTGTCATGCAAGGTAGTATCTCATTTTACCACAGATATCATTCCCACTCCTAAAACCTGAGGAATTCCGTTAGCAAAAGAGAAACAAAAAAAGATAATGCTCTGTTTAGACATCTACACACACCTTAGTTACTGTGCTGATATTAAAAGTCAACATCTGCAAAATATCTCCATGTGTACCTTTTGTGGGAAAGGTGATTTTTCTAATCTACTTTCTCAGGCACCTCTCAAGCAACCTCATAAAGCAACTGCTAGTAAATTCTTACTTTTGAATAGCAACCTTCACACTATAAAATTGCTCTCTTTCCAAAAGGCTTGGTGGAACCTTTCTTTTTAACCTAAGTCCTTCAGTCCAGCTCTCCAGGAATTCTGTGCACATTTGAGCTCAAGAAAAATGGGGGGGAAAAATCCAGTAACTATTTTAAAGGATGCTGTTAGGTATCTAAAACATTTAACTAAAGAAACAAAAATAAAAGGAAAAGGCTTAATGCTCTTGAATTTTGGGCATCCTCCACAAACCTTAGACCCATTGGAATAGACGACAGTTTCTTCCATGGAAATTAATTTTTATTTTCAGTTTGAGTAAAAAAGTATATTATTTTTCTTCATTTTTTGGAATTTTTATCTCAGATAATATCAAAGAGACAATTTGTCTGCCTTTCCTCTTCCCAGCTTTTCTGCCTCCCTCAGGGGAAGGACAGATTGACCTGAGCAGTGCCCATAAACAGGGAGATGGGAAGCAAACGTAGTCATGGTTAGTTTGTCTCTGGTTCATTGCTCTGGTGAGCAACTGATCGTAGGTCTGTAAATTCTGGGATCCAACTATAATATGCCCTTGACAAATGTATTCCTGTGGACTCTCCTAGGTGTTTAACTTTTTAACACAAATATCTGATGGCAATAGAGATGAATGCCTGACTTTGTGAGGACTGGGAAAAGGGGAGACAGGATGTAGCAAGGTGTAGCAAGGGTGTTGATTGCCTAGTTTAGTTAGACAATATCCAGCTTATTTTTCCTTACAAAGCTGTGCTGGGACACACTGCTCTTAAACATGGAGTTGCAGTTTATGCAACAACTAAAAGAGAGTTTGGGTGCCAAAAAGCTGGAAAGAAAACTGCACCTCCTGAGCCACTCAGGAGCCTGGCGTCTCCACATTTGGGTTTCACCATCTCATTAGCAGGTAGCCTGGATTATTTTTGGGACATCCAACATATCTCTATTTATATCTTGCTTGTCAGACAGTAAAATGAAAGTTCCTTTTCGTAGCTCATTTCTGTGAGTATAACCAGGCCCTTAGATCACGGTTTCGTATCCACACGCTATCCTTAAAACCAGCAGGTTAAGAAGCTCGTCTTTCAAATAAATATATCTATCTTTTAAAAGTAATAGCTGGCAGAGGCCAATTATTTCATCCATCTCTGTGTGGTATAAATGGGGTAAGCCACAGTAATCTGTGGTTTTCAATAATTATCACTTTTTCATTTACAAATAGTTGGATCCTCACTTGTTTTTTATTTATGGTAAACCAGAAAGCCGGCGTGGTTGACCTTTCTAAATGATATATATACCTAGTAAGATGTATAGTGAAGAGCCAATAGGCCCCAACAGTAGAATATATTTTAGCTTGTAGTTCATCCCAGGGTGTCAATTTTAAAAGCAAAATCTTTCCAATGCAATTTAAGTGATGAACTTATGAAAGGGGAGAATTCTGGCAGGGTTTGTGACAACTATTTTCAAGTTTACCAGCAAAAAGTCCAGCACTGCAGATGTCTGCATAGTTTCCAGTTAAAACTCTCATATCATTGCAAAGTAAAAATGCTTTTTTCTCCCCAAATCTTTGAATGTCTTTACAAGAATGTAAAGCCAATTGCAGCATCAATTTCTCTATTTTTTTTCTTCTCTGGCAGAATGCAATGTCCTCGAAAAATGATAGTCCCTGAGACCCTGTCAGTTTGCATGCTCTAACACTTTATTATCTAATGATCTAATATGCAACAAGGCAAAGAGGAGGTGCTTATCACCCTGACAAGATGCCTAAGAGAAGTGACTAAATTACTTTATGTACCATTAGCAGTAGCTGCCACGGTGAACTCACTGTGAGCGTTTATGCAAATATTCCTGAATACATTCAAGTGGCCTTGTCAGGAAGACGACTGACAAGCAGCTTAAATGCTTGGGTTTTTAAAGGGACAGTTTTATTTCTTTTTCTTTTCCTTTTCCTTCCTCCTCCATAGGAAAACTCTGAAGAATTGGGTGATATTGAGGTTTGCTTATTTTTTGGTTCTGAGTGAGCTCATCAGCAGCAAAAGATGAAAGATGCAGGGTAGAAATAGGGACACATTATAAGATATGATGTCAAAATTTGCAGGTGGAAGCAGAGACAACCATGATTTCTAAAGCAATGTCCTGCCATTATTTTCATATGAAATATACATAAATCTCTGTGTATGAGTACCTGAAATAGGGCATTACGTAGCAAAACCATTATTAGTGGCTGCCTTATGCTGGAAAGGATAGTGCATGGCTGGATTGTTTGATCACTTTATTGTGGTACCTGAGATAGTCAAGGTTTTACAGTGTTGTTTTAGCTCATGACAGTAATGAGTGACTCAGACTATTTGTCTGCAGGTGCAAAACCTCCTACAGTAAAAGAAAAGTAGTTGCTGTGCCTCAGCTGGATACGACAGGTAGATCCTCTTGTCAGCAGTAGGGCATTTAAAGAGCATTTCTTGACAATCCTGCCCATCCTGGGCAATCTGAGAGCCCACAGTCACTGCACAATCAGAGATTTTTCACTAAGTCCTCAGATTTGAAAGCAAAAATGATTGCTAGGCTGTGGCTTAGTTAATTAGATATTTTCTGTTTAGGTTATTAAAAAAAGGAAAGTTTTCCCCACCTTATAAACTGTTTTGAGAAGATAATCTTTAAAATAAACCTTGGGGATTGACTGCCTTTAAATATCATAGTTATCTAGTCTTACTGTAACAGAACTGTTGAGAATGAATAC